TTTCAAAATGTCTCCATCTGTAGGAAATTGCAAGATTATCTAGGCACCTAACGCTTTCTCCTAACTTCATGTGGATTTTTTTTATTCTTCAAAGTCTAAAGTTCTAGGCTGTCTATTACATTTTAAGATCTCTTTTCTGCCAGAAATTGCTTATCTTTGGGGTGCCTGGGTGGTTCAATGGGTTAAGTCTCTGCCTTTGGCTCAGGTCATGATCTCAGGGTCCTGGGATTGAGCCCTGCATCAGGCTCTCTGCTCAGTGGAGAGTCCGCTTCCCTGCTCTCTACCTGCCTCTGCCTACTTGTGATCTCTGTCAAATAAATAAATAAAATCTTTAAAAAAAAAAAAAAAAGAAAAGAAATTGCTTATCTTTGAGTTTAGAAATTTAACAAATAGGTGCCCAAGAAGTGAAAGGATTTCTTTTTCTTGAAAAACAGCTTCAGTGTGGAACTCCATATACTCTCAATAGCCATACTAAGTTGGTCCTTCAGTTCGGAAAAGTTTTCTAGAATTTTTTCTGATTGTTTATGAGTTATATGTTTTAACCTTTTCTATTGCTGGTACCCTTACTATTTGACAAGCTGTACAGCCAAAATCCATTTTCTAGATATGTTAGTTCTATTACATTATTATTAGTCTGTAGAATTTCATTACTTTCCCATATATTCATTTTTCTGTTGTTCAGATAGTCAATCACACATTAGCTAATCCACCAACACCATAGTATCTCTGAACCATTTGGCACTACATATTTTGTAATGTTCTTTTCTACATTTCAAATGGTGAACTCTGAACATTCCCAACAGCTGCTCTGTAATCTATTTAATCTTGGACTGTAACTGGGAATTTTTACCTTTTCTTTTTCTTTAGTATCACCTATTTATCTGCCCTATGGCCTCCTTCCTGCCTTGTACTGATACCATCAATATTTTCATTTCATTAAAAAAAATTTCTGCCCACTCCTTTCTATAGCCATTAGCTGTCTTACCTGTTTGAATGCTGTCTCAATTTTCTTCTATTTGCTTAAGTTATCTAACAGTAAGGGCTGTGTGGGTGGGCTCCGTTTCCCTAGGCTCCCTCTTCCCTTCTAATGTTGTGACACTTATTAATTACACCAAGTTCTATTTTACCTCTGGTTTTCACACTGTTTCTGAAGGTGGCTTGTCTGAGGTTTGTTGTCCTTTCTGTTTGTGTTGGATATCCCCCCTATGTTCTGCTACCTCTTCAAAAGCCTCTTTTAAAGGTCTGTTTTCTTAAAACAAGTCTTATAATAAAGTTAGTCTAAAATGTTCATATAGCTTGTGTTTCAAAATTTCCTTTTTAAGACTATTATTACTGGGAAGTCAGCATGTTTTCACAAGGAAGGAAAATATTACAGAAGGTAGTCATGTCCCCAGACAAGTACACAAAAGTAAACTTGACCAAGATGTGCCTGAAGCATGCTATTGTATTAATAATGAACGTAACCTCCCAGTATCTCTATACAAAAAAGTCATCTAGTATTTGAGGTAAACAGAAAGAAAAACTGGCAGGGAGACAAGATGGGAGCCCCCTCCTTCTTTTTTTTTTTTTTTAAAGATTTTATTTATTTATTTAACAGAGAGAGACACAGCGAGTGAGAGAGAACATAAGCAGGCGAGTGGGGGAGGGAGAAGCAGGCTTCCTGCTGAGCAGGGAGCCTGCCCGATATGGGGCTTGATCCCAGGACCCTGGGATCATAACCTGAGCTGAAGGCAGGTGCTTACTGACTGAGCCACCCAGGCGCCCCGGGAGCCCCCTCCTTCTTAAGGACACTGCAAGTTCTTAACATTTTGTTGTATTTTAGAGAAATACTCAGAATCAGCTTCCTGAATAGGTCATTAAAGTGAAGAAAGTTGTGAGGTGAGGCAAAATGAGTCAGACCAGATTATAGTGACAGGGCTTGGAAAGTGGTAGTGGCGTAAGAAGATCGAACAAAAGCTGTCTACTCTCCCCGACTGCCTCTCTGGAACCAGTTCTGCACTGCAGACCCAGTTTCCTAGACCAACTCTAGGAAAAGATTGCAAAAAAAGCCTGGGGTGTTTTCCCCCTTTCTTTTCATAGGTGAGGGGGTTCTAAACGATAGAAGGATCTGGAAGAGGATGGGAAGGAAAGAGAATCCCTGCGGTCCCATATGCATTCCCAGCTGGACATTGGTCAGTTATATGGTATATATAGTGATGTACATATGTTGAAGATGATCTGTATCGGTCTCAACAATTAATGTCTTTGCTGAGCAGTCCTTAAACCACTGAATCACACTGCCACTCACTGAGGCTTCTCTAATCATAAGTATTTAAAGTGTCTTTGCTATAATTACAGTTTTATGCTAACTAAATCCAGATTCTCTCAGAAATAATTTTCTTTTTCTTTGAAGATTTATTTATTTCAGAGAGACAGCAAGCGAGTGGGGGTTGGAGGAGAGGCAGAGGGAGAGGGAAGGAAAGAATCTCAAGTAGACTTCCCACTGAGCACAGAGTCTGATGTAGGGCTCAATCCCATGACCCTGAGATCATGATCTGAGCCAAGATCAAGAGTCGGATCTTCAACTGACTGAGCCACCCAGGTGCCCTCTCAGAAATAATTTTAAAATGTCATAATACATCATCAATCTACTAAATTTTAATCCTTTTTTCTTTTAAAGATTTTAATTATTTGTCAGAGACAGAGAGAGAGAATGAAAGAGAGAGAGCACATGCAGCGAGAGCAGCCAGCAGAGGGAAAAGCAGACTCCCCACCAAGCAAGAAGCCTGATGTGGAACTGGATCTCAGGGCCCTAGGATCACAACTGGAGCTGAAGGCAGACGCTTATCCGGCTGAGCCACTCAGGCATCCCTACTAAATTATAATCTTTAACTCAACTCTAACAAAGCTGGAAAGATAATTTTTCCTTACCAGCGAATATCACAGATTTTAAAAAATGAAGAAAACTTATCCACAGCTGGAGATGAATTTTTTAAAAACTGAGTTCTAGGAGCATCTGGGTGGTTCATTAGGTTAAGCGTCTGCCTTCGGCTCAGGTCATGGTCGCAGCATCCTAGGACTGAGCCCCACAGTCAGGCTCTCTGCTTAGCAGGAAGCCTGCTTCTCCCTCCCACTCCCCCTGCTTGTGTTCCCTCTCTCGCTATCTCTCTTTCTATGTCAAATAAATAAATAAAATCTTAAAAAAAAAAAAAAGAGTTGTAATTTAGATACCACTAAATTCACCCATTTTAAGTGTACAGTTCAGTGGTTTTTAGTATGTCTGCAAGGTTGTGCAATCATCACCACTAATTCCAGAATACTATCATCACCTTAAGAAGAAATCCTGTACCCATTAGCAGTCACTCCCCATTCTCTCCTCCCCACAGTTCCTGGCAACCACTAATCTACTTTCTGTCTCTAGGGATATGCCTCTGCGGACAGTCACATAAACAGAATCATATGGTGTGTAGTGCTTTGTGTCTGGTTTCTTTCACATAGCACAATGTTTTCAAGAGTCAGCCGTGTCATAACATGTATCAGTAATTCATTAACTTTACGGTATGGAAATTTGTTCATCCATGAATGATATTTTAAAAATCTATTTTTTGCTCCCTATGTTAATTAGCTCTCAGGATTACTCAAGATTCAACTCAAGACACACCATATGTATTCACACATTCACCTCTTGGCTTACAAGATTATCAGTATATTTTATTTTCTGTCAATTTAGAAATCATTTTGTACATTATGGTATTGGTTGTATTGTGTTTCGGTACTTTGATAAATATTTATTGGGCTTTCTAACTAGCACCGCTTTTTCTAGAAATTACCCCTTCCCTCCAACTTCTATATGGTTAATGTGATCTTGTTCCTGTCTACCAGCTCCAGGAACGAGACCCTGATTCAAGATAGGCAAATTAGGCCCTTCACTGGCAAAGCGGAATTGGGTGTAGGATTCCACTTCCAACTAGCTTATCTCTTCATTGCAAGAGTAAATCTCAGGAGTTTTTGGCTATTACCATTTTTTTTCCATGTAGACTAAGAAACCAAGAAAACCAGTGTGCAAGAAGAATCAGAGACAAAGAGAGAATAGCAGAGATAAGAGATGGAGCAGGAATCCCTGAGTTCCCAGCAGGCTGCATCCCTGTCCTTGGATTCCGTGAGATATCCTATAAACTTATCCTAAGTCCCCTTACCATTTAAGTGGGTTAAGGCAGTTTCTGTAGTCTCCAGCCAACAGCCCTAATATAATCATCTACCCAATAAAATTTTAAGGTCTTTAGCAGTAAGGGCTCAACCTCATAGCACACATTACAACAATTCAAATGCATACTTAATCAAATGATCACCTATGGAGTACCTTGCAAAATTATCTATAAAATGCACTCAAGACATTCTCCAATGAGTATGTAAAAAAAAATTAGGATTGGTGTCTTTTTATTTTGTTTTATTTTATTTTATTTTTAAGATTTTATTTATTTATTTGACAGAGAGAGATCACAAGTAGGCAGAGAGGCAGGCAGAGAGGGAGGGGGAAGCAGGCTCCCTGTGGAGCAGAGAGCCCGATGTGGGGCTCGATCCCAGGACCCTGAGATCATGACCTGAGCCGGAGGCAGAGGCTTTAACCCACTGAGCCACCCAGGTGCCCCGGGATTGGTGTCTTTTTATAAAAATGCTGTATTATTGTATCACTGACTCAATATATCTTCGCACCCATTTTGCAAAACATTAATTTCCTCAGAAGTGAAATCATCTATTTTATTGTACTACTCCATCCCATTTGCTCTTGCCTGATATTTAAATCTTTTGAAAAGCATAGTGTTACATTTTCCTTAGAAAATTGGAAGCTTCTCACAAACAACAAGTAATCTCTATTCGCTTTTTAAGCAAACTCCCACAAAACCTACTAACAAATAATCTTCAGGGGCAGCTGGGTGGCTCAGTACGTTGTGCCTGACTTTGGCTCTGGTCATGATCTCAGGGTCCTGGAATCAAGCTCCTACTTGGGCTCTGCACACAGCAGGGAGTCTGCTTGTCTCTCTCCCTGCCCCTTTCCCCCAGCTCATGTCCTCATGTCTCTCTCAAATAAATAAAATATTTAAAAAAATTCAGCGTACAGAAATACAAGTAAGTAACCTCATTTATAGTGGTGTGCATGTACAATGATGTGATGCACACACACACACACACACACACAGACACACACACACACACACTATTACTCAGCCATAAAAAAGAAAGAGCTTGCCATCTGAAACAACATGGATGATTCTAGAGAGTATTATGCTAAGTGAAATAAGTCAGAGAAAGACAAGTACCATATGATTTCATTCATACGTGGGATTTAAGAAACCAAACAAAGAAAAAAAAAAGACAAATCAAAAAATACACTTTTATCTTTAGAGAACAAACCAGCGGTTACCAGAGGGAAGGTGGGTGGGGGGTGGGTGAAATAGATGATGGGGATTAAGAGCACACTTACCATGATAAGCACTAAGTACTACACAGAATTGTTGAATTATTATATTGTACACCTCAAACTAATACAACACTGTATGTTAACTATATTAGAATTATAATTTAAAATAAGGCAAAAAAGATGCAAAAAGATAAAAATCAAAGATATAGAATGTTGGGAATTAAAAAAAAAACCCAACAGACTCTTAAATACAAAAACAAACTGGTGGTGGCAGGAGATAAGTGAACAGATAGAGGAGATTAAGAGTACACTTATCTCGATGAGCTCTGAGTAATGTATAGAACTGCTGAATCATATTTCACACCTGAAATTATTAATATTGTATGTTAATTATTTTTCAGTTAAAGTACAACGATATCGAGCATACAGAGATATAAATGAATGACCTCCCTGGAATCATTCTCTCCTTTTCTCCTCTCGAAAACAAGATATACTGTCAAACATGAATCATTCCCAGAAGGATAACTAATCTGTAATACAATGACACTGTGCACATGTAATTATTAGACGATAGAGGTTTCAGAGGCAAGAAATGTTCCTTCACTGACAACTCAGGAGACACAGTTTCCTAAGTCTGCTCTCTTTCCCCAGGTTGAGGAGCCTGCTGCTGTAACTGAAACTGCAAAGCTAATTCCCCGCTCTTCCTGGGAGTCCTCACTTCATTTTGCAAAGTTCTTTTCCCAAAATCAAATCCAGGATTTGTCACCTAATTGGTTCTCAGTGGGGATAACAGAGATAAAACCAAAAATCCAAAATGTTTTCTTAAATCCCTGTTAAAAAGTCTATAGGGATAAATGGGCTAATCCTTCAAAGTGTTAAGATTTGGTTCCTGAGTGGATTTTGTAAAACACATTAACGTCACTACCTTCTCTAAGACATACTGAAATTTAAAAAATTATACTTCCAATACTACAAAGGCTTACAGAGATAGAACCCCTTTAAATTACTGAAGAATTCCAACAGAGTACAACTGTGTACCGTGTCAAGCACTGGGGCAGTTTCTCATGGCCTTGGCCCCAAAGCTTCTCTGTAGCTGAAGAGAACTGTCTTGGCCAAAGCTCTGAGAGGCAAAATACTACTTACTTACTATTAGCCCCTTCCAAAAAAAAAAAATTTTAAACTCTAAGTTTAACAAATGGCCCACACAAGGACTTGCTGAAGTTCCCTGAGACTCAAACTGTTAGGGCAGGAAGAGATTTTGGAAACCTACTTTAACCTAATTATTTCACAAATGAGAAGAAGGGGTGGACAAGAGATAAATGACTTGCTCAAATTCACAGAACTGATCAAACCAGCAGAGTTAGAGTATAGGTCCTCGATTCACAGCTGGAAGCTCACTTCCCCCTACCATCTGTCTAAAATGTGTAAAATGGACAGTTTTGAAACCTCAGCTTTCTGAGAGAAAAACCAAAAAAAAGGGAAAACTACAACTTTCTGTTTCAAATGTAAAGCTGAGAGATTAAAGTGTTACATGTCAATTCCTGGAGGTAAAAGGTAATATCCATCCAAATGTTGTGATGGACTTGCCCTGGAGGCTAAGTGAAATGAAACCGAACACAAGATTTTTGCTGCAACCTGAAGGTTTTTTTTTTTTGTTTTGTTTTTTTATCATTTTTTACCATTATGAACTATAGTAACTATTGATTCTGTGTGCCCAAAGCTACCCCATTCCTCCTTTTCCATTAATAAAGCCTATAGTCCCTTGACCAGAAGGATGGGCACATGTCCTAGACCTGGCTAATCAACAATCTCACATCACAGGTCTAAGTAAGGCCATAAAGAACCCTTCCCTAGAACTGTGATACAGATGCGGAGAAAAAGAACTCCTCCCGCTTTCCTATCATGTGGAGAAGGCAGTCTGCAGTAGGAGAGGTTAAGACCAACATTCAAAGAGAAACAGACATAAAGGAGATGAGAGATGGAAAGAGTCTGGCAACGTCAAATCCTTGGGTCTCGTTCCTGAGTTGGTTCCTTTGAGTCAGTAAGTTAACCCTTTATCTTTATCAACTATAAAGCCAGTAAATTCCTTTTACAGCTCAAAATACTCTGAATCGAATTTCTGTCACTTGCAACTCAAAAATGCTAACATATACTGACCCCAGGAGACAGAACTAGATATGCTATTCTTAATACAGGGAAACTAATGAATGTTTATTTAAGAAAAATGTTTTGATGCATATAGTCAGGCTCTACTGTTTCTTGTACCTACGATGTCTGACATCCTACACTCACCAGCTTCCCTGTTTCCATTATAACCTGGCTGCTGAAAGTATGTGACTTTGCTAACAGTTTCCTAGGATTTCCCTAGAATTTAAAAAAAAAAAAAAAAAAATCCTATTATACACTTGTTTCATTGATTTTCAATAGAAGCTGAATGTAAGATATGTTCTAGGTAATATAGATTAAATGAGATTTTACCTTGTATAGACTGTCAAAAAGATAATCTACTCATCAACATTACAGTATGCCATGTGGCAAGTTTTCAAATTTTTAACAATAGACACCAATAAGAACAACAAATCTCAGGACCTACCTCTAGTAAGGCTCCAGTTTGGAAGAATTTCAAAGGCTTTTCAATGGAATAATAAAGGCTATGATAGCTACCTTTAGCCAGGTATGCTCTGACGAGACCAACTGCTATAACCAGCCACCTATGAGAAAGAGGAAAAATAGCAATCAGGATATTTAAAAAAAAAAAAAAAAAAGGTCAATAGGACTGGGGGTAATAGAAAATTTGGTGACAACACATACTGTTAAAGGTGACCTCAAGAATCAGTAACCCAGATTTATCAACTATGGCCCTCAAATGCCAAAATGTAATGCACAGAAATGTTGCACCACCAGCACCCAAGCAAGAGTGCTCAGCAAAAGCAGAGTGGCACCTCACCCATCTGGAGCTCAGCTTTTTGGCAAACTTGCCTGTTGAGAACAAGGCCAAAATGAAGAGAATAAGCTAAATTGGTCCTTGAGCAGCTAAATTAAGTGCCAGAAAGTCTAAGACGAGAGAAAAAAGCTGTTAAAGGAAAATTTTAAATGGCCTGTGCAAAGACTCTGTAATAATAATAGGGTGGAGGAAAGATGTTTTAAACTGTTTTCACAAGTATCTCACAGAAACATACCCATACCCTACTCTTTTAAAATTGCGAATGAGATAAGAATAAAAGGGACGCCTGGGTGGCTCAGTCATTAAGTGTCTGCCTTTGGCTCAGGTCATGATGCCAGTGTCCTGGGATGGAGCCCCGCATTCCGCTCCATGCTTGGCGGGAAGCCTGCATCTCCTTCTCCCACTCCCCCTGCTTGTGTTCCTGTTCTCACTCTCTCTCTCTGTCAAGTAAATAAATAAAATCTTTAAAAGCAAAAAAAGAAAAAAGGTAAAAATAAAAGGTTGGTTTAAAAAAAAGATTTTCTTAGCTGAATTTCCCAAAATCAATTCAGTAAAAAAAAGTGCCAGATCAATACAAAATACAAAATAGGGGAACACTTAAGCATATCACTGTGAATGTTACATTTCTGTTTTGTTCTTCTCAAAATGAATTTCTCCAGTCCTGTAATTTTAAGTACCATAGTGCAACAAATGGACCTTTATTATTAAAGGATTATTAAACCTTTATTATTAAGGTTTGTCTCCATAAAAGCAGTAACAGATTTACCTAAACAAATGTACAATCCTAACTAGGCAATGGGTTATATGGTCTATGTTATTTTCAGAAACTATCATACAAAGATATCAAATAAGAATTTGCAAAAGAAATGAAATCCTTAATGGTATAACTGTCCCAGGACTAGCAACCTACAAAAAAAAAAAAAAAAAAAGACTACTTTCTCTCAAAATCCCAATTTCTTTTCTTGGCTTAAGACATCACTCCCCATCCTCCATCACCCAGGAATAAAGGCTTCTTTCCTTCTTCCCCAGTGTACCTTAAAATCTCTCTCCAGCCCAATGCTCTCCTTAATGGCCTTGCCTACAAGAATTCACATATAAATACAAATACTAACTCCTGAGAGGTTCTTCTAAAAATCACTCTCTGACCATTTATGCAATAAAGAAAACTTGCATCTGTATTATTTTTCCACTGGCCTGGGAATCAAGGGAAATAGTTTTTAGATCTAGATCTATTACTAGCAAGTCAAGAAAGTCACAACCTCTCTGAACCTAGGTTTCAACACCAGCCATTTCTAAAGAAGCAATCAAGTCTACAATGCTCCCTATATAACTGTGTGAAAAATGCAAGGTGCTGAAATGCTAATCTGACATTAGCATTTGTGTTAAAAAGGGCGTGTGTCTATGTGTGTGTACAGATTTGCTTTCATCAGCATCTGGAGGAATCACAAAATTAGCACCTCCTGGGAGGGGGATCTGGGTGGAAGGGAAGGGTGAGAGGGAGTTTCACTGTATGCTCTTGGGTATATTTTTGAATTATGCACCTGCCAATGTAGTACCCATTTTAAAAATAAATAAAACTAGATGTTCACCCTACAATTCTTTAAACTTCTCTGCATCTTTGAAAATTTTCATAATAAAATGTTAGCGAAAATCTTTTACAAATGACGGCTGGCTCAGTCGGTACACCAAGCGACTACTGATCTCTGGGTTGTTTGTTCGAGCCCCACATTGGGTGTAGAGATTACTTAAAAATAAAATATCAAAAAGAAAAACATAACAAATTGTCTGATCCTGTGATCCTCCGCACCAAAACTAAGGGATCAAAGAACTGGAGGAACCCTGGAGATCACCTAATCCAAACTCTTTAGTTTTACAGATGAAAAACTGAGGACAAGAAAAGCAAAGTGATTTATCCAAGGTCACACAGATAGCGTCAGAACTAGAACTAAAAACCTGCTGTGACAAGGGATGGGCTAAAATGGAGAAACAAGAGGAGGTAAAACCTGTTTAAAGCGTCTATCTCCCTCCTCCCCAGAAACTCTGCCTTCCACCTTCCCTACCCCAATCCATCCTAAAAAGTCTCAGCTCATCTAAAGCACAGCTTTGCTCATGGCACTGGTCAAAAACTTTGAACGCGTTTCCATTACCTTTCGGATTAAAGCTCAGTCTGGACTTTGAAAACAGCCGCCTAAATAAATGGTCACTCTGCAGCCACAGCTCCCTCTACTCCCCTTGGGGGAAATGGCTCGTATTCGTGACTAGCCGCCGGGGCTCTCCTCGGCGCTGCAGGATAGCCGGCACGCCGCGCCGCACCCCACCCACCCAGCCCAGACTGACCCCTGACCAGCCCACCCGTCCTCCCAAGGCCCTCGGGACCAGCGCCAGGGCGACTTTCCCCGTGTCCCTCTGGACCCCGGGAACTCCAGCTCGGGCACACCCAGTGCCTGAGAACTTGCTCGGCCCCTCGCCCAGGGGGGGAGTCCCGGGCAGGCACCTGGTCCGATTCGGCTGCCCTCAATACCCCGGAACCCGGCCCCGTACACCCACCGCCCCGGCTGCCCCGCGCGCTGGCCCGGCCGCTCAGCCGGCCGCAGAGCCCCCTCCCCGGCCCGGCTTACTCCCCGCCTCCCCGAGCCCCGGCCTCACCCGGCCGTCATCACCACATTGTAGATGACCAGATACGCCGTGGCCAGAGGCCCTGGGCCCTTCTTTTTCCGCGCACTGCCCGCTTCGCCGGCCCCGGCCCGGGCCCCCCCGCCCGCATTCCCCTTCGTCGCTGCAGTCGCCGCCGCTGCCGCCATGTCAAGCCACCGGAGCACGCTCTCCTTGCGCGAACACAGCCGCCCGGACAAGGCACCGCGAGGGGGCGGAGGGACGAGGGAGAGGCGGGGTCGAGTCCGCGGGGCGGAGCCAGAGACAGCACCCACGGCGGCCGCCATCTTGAAAGAGGGCAAAGACACTCCTGACGCTCCCGGCCTTTCAGCTCGTTTCAAACGCCAGTGCCATCTTGGATCACGGTAATCACCGCCTCTTTGCGCTCCGGGTTATACTCTCTGGCGCCATCTTGGATTAGGTCAGAGTCACCTCCGTCGGTAGTCCCGCAGTTTCTAACATCTGGATGCGTTGTCGTCCTTGACTGTTTCTCCCCGTATAAACTCTGTCTCCATGATGGATCAAGAAAATGATGCTTTCCTTCTCCCTTTTCATCTTCTTCCAGTGGGTGATCGAACAACCTGCCATTTTGGGTCAGGGTAATTGACACCGATATCGCTTCCCATCAACCCCAGAGGCTGGAGAGGAATACGCTTTTTGGCGGGTTCTCTTTGCTCCTGCACCAGCAGCCAGGTTGAAGGTTCAGCCTTCGAAAGTTTCTTCCCTGGCTTTTAAATTTTAAGTTACTAGTACAGTGGAGAAGGTCAACGAGAAGTGTGCCCCTTTTTTTGACTAAAGTCGTACGTGTGGTCTAGGTTCCAGTGTCATTTGGGAAGGTCTGGAAGGTTCAAGTGCATCTTCCAGCCTGAAGCCCTGTGGGATCACCTGTCGCCAAGGCGGGACGAGGACGAGGTATTTAGGTGGTCAGCTAAGGGTGAGGTGCCGAGTGGAGCAAGTAACTTCCTATCTACAGTGGGCAAAAACAGAAGTGTTGGCTTAAGCGGAAAACCTGTCTGCTGAGGTAAACAGGGAAGGCTTATGGAAACTGCTTCAGCCAGCTGACCCCTCTTGCTCATTAAGTGCTTTGTTCTGGATTTTTTTTTTCTTTAATTTGTAAAAGGCTCCTACAGCTAATTTTCACACAGATATCTTAAATGAATTGCTGTATACATAGTGGTATAAAATATTTATCCATTCTATCAAGTAGAGCCTTTGTGAGGTTGCACAGGGCGGCGGGGGGGGGGGGGTTCTTTGCACTAAATGAGAGACAGTCTTCTGTCTCCCAGAGACCATATAGAGAGAGCTGGTGGAAAATAAATCTATATTAACTGGTGAAAGGTCTTATCAGTTAGGAAGTTATTGCAGTAATCCAAGCTATAGTGATAGTGGTTTAGGCCAGAAAGGTTGTGATTGAGATGATGGAAACCTGATTGAATTCTGGACATATTTTTAAAGAGCTGGTAAGATTTGTGGATATATTATACGTGGAGTATGAGGTAAAGGAGACATTGTGAGCAACTTGGAAGAACCGAATTGAAGAAAGTGTTTTGAAGGCAGAAATGGGGAGTTTTGCTTTTTTATGTGTCAAATTTGAAATTTACATTAGACATCCAAGTGGCAATATTGAGTAATCAATTACATTTAGACCAGGTGCAGGCAAAACTGTTCCTCCTGTAGGTTCCAAGAGAGAATCCATCCATTCCTTACTTCCTCCAGCTTCTAGAAGTTGCTGGCATTCCTTAGCTCACAAGTTACTTCAATTTGCCCTCTCTGAACTTCCACCTGCTTTCTTAAAACAACTGATCTTTGTGATTGCATTGGGCTCAACCAGATATTCTGGGATAATTTCCCCATAGCAAGAGCCTTAACTTCATCACACCTGCCCAATGCCTTTTGCCATATAAGTAATATTCTGGGGATTAGAATAGCGACCTATGTGGGGGCCATTATACAGCCTACCACATTCCATTGCCCGCCCCCAAAAAGACAAGCAAGAAAACCCCAAAGACTTGAGAAAAATGATGTTATTTTTAAACCATTATTAAATTTTCAGGGAAAGTAAGGAATCTCCAAAGTGGGAACTGGAAGTGGGGAGAGGGCTTTTGTTGGTGGTGGTTAAGAATAGTAAATTGAAATTACAACAGTGATCAGTTAGCAAAAGCCAAAGCCAGGATTTCTCTGAGGGCAACCACTACGACCAGGGCTAGGACTGAGAGACTAACCAAGAGAAATTTCTAGGGCCCCTTTTATAAGGGTGCTAATCCTATTCCTAATCACACCCCGAAGGCCCCACCTTGAAGTACTAGGGTGTTAGGGATCAGGATTTCAATACGTACATGAATTTTGGGGGGACACAAACACTTAGATTAAGGTGTTATTTTCCTTGGCAAAAGGGATTTTGCAGGTGTGATTAAATCAAGGTGTTTGAGGTATAGAGATTAGTCGGATTATCTGAGTGGGCTCAATGTAATCAAAAGAGGGAGGCAGAAAAAGAATCAGTCAGAAGGGGAAGTGACTAGAAGAAAGGCAAAGAGAGATGCAATGTTTCTGGCTTTGAAGGTGGAGGCAAAGGGCTTCTAGAACCAGGAAAATGTAAGGAAATGGATTATCTCTCTAGCAAGAAATGCAGCCTTGCCAACATCTGATTTTAGTCCAGTGAGACCCATATCAGACTTCTGACCTACGGAATTTTAAAATAATACATTTGTATTGTTTTAAGCCACTAAGCTCGTGAAAATTTTAACAGCAGCAGCAATTGGAACCTAAATTGGAACCTAAATACAGCTAATACATCTCCATCACTATCAATCAAAAAGCATTCCTAGTGATAACATGATGAAAGATTCTGTTCATCAGGAACACATAACAATCATAAAAGTGTACATAATTACATGACCTCTGCTCTAATGTTCCAGTTCTATGTAGAGAATAATAAAACAGTATTGGGTGACATTAAGGAAGACCTAAAATAAGTGGAGGGATACTGAGTTTGTTACCAGAGAACCGGTTCTGAACTCAGCTTCAGCTGCTTGCCACTTGAAAATCAACAATTGAGACAAGTGATGGTGGGAGAGGAAAGGTGACTTTACTCAGGAAGCTGGCAGCCTCGGAAGATGGTGGCTTCACATCTCAAAGACCATCATCACTGTCCAGGTGTAGCTGCAAGTATTTAAAGTGGATGGCAGAAGAAAAGGGAGGGAGGCTATCTACAGGAGAAGCAGGTGCCCAGGCAGTTAGTCCTATGTCGACATGACCCTGAACAGACTTACTGGCATCAGCCCCAGCTGCTTTAGAATGTAATCAGGCCTTATCTTCTGGCAAAGTTTGGTCCTTCACTCCTTAAGGCCAGTGGTCTACAAAGCTCAAGGAAAGTAAGTTAGTTCTGCCAAAGACCAGGGACTTATTTAGGTCAGGAAGCAAGAAGTGCATAAGCTTGAAGCAAGTTAACCCTTAAAACTGGTTGGAGTGCTGTTACAAATCATAAATTGAAAGACTCCATATGGTAAAGGTAACCGTTCTCCCTAAATTAATTTATAAATTACATTAGATCTCAAATCAGAATTTCCTCAGGTGGTTATTGTTGTTTGTTCATTTTGGTTTTTGTGGAACTTGATAAGGAAATTAAAATTTTACAAAGTGTAAACGTTCAAAATTTGTCAAGATATTGGGGTGTGCGGTTGGGGCGCCTGGGTGGCTCAGTGGGTTAAAGCCTCTGCCTTCGGCTCAGGTCGTGATCCTAGGGTCCTGGGATTGAGCCCTGCCTCGGGCTCTCTGCTCAGCAGGGAGACTGCTCCCCCCCCGCACCGCCCCGCCTGCCTCTCTGCCTACTTGTGATCTCTGTCTGTCAAATAAATAAAAATCTTAAAAAAAAAAAAAAATACTGGGAGAATTTGATCTATAATAGATCAAGAATTATTATAAATTATAGTAAATAGGACAGTATAGTATTAGTATAGGAATGGCAAATAGGCTGATGAACCAGAATAGAGAGCCTAGAAACAGACCCAAACATATATAGTCACTTTGGGTATGACAGAGATGCTGTAGAGAAAAGACGGGCATTTCAATAAAAGTTGCTAGAACAGTTGGATATCCATATGGGGGAAAAAAAATTCCCTTCCTCACAGCGCACACAAAAATCATTTCTAGGCTTAAATATGAAAGACAACAATTAAAGTTTTTAGAAAGTACTATAAGAGAGTATCTTTATGATCTCAAAGGTAAAGAATTTTAAAAGAAGACATAGAAAGTATCAACTGTAAATGAAAAGACTGATACATTTGACTAGATTACAATAAAGAACTTCTTTTCATCAAAAGACAGCATAAAATTAGGGGGAAACCCCATAGAGTACAGAGTGGGAGAAATACTTATCACACACATAATTAATAAAGGACTAGCCTTTACAACATAATGAAAACTCCCTCAAATCAATAAGGGATAATCACATTGAAAAAATGAGCAAAAGACTTGAATAGGGACTTTATCAAAGAAAAAATATGACCAATAAACATATGCAAATATCCTCAACTTCACTGGTAATCAGAGAAATGAAAATTATAACTATAGTGAGATACTTTACATTGAGATACATTTTAGCCATCTTCCAGGGTGGCTGAAATGAAACAGTTTGAAAATACCAGTTTTTGGTGAGAACATCGTGCAGCAGAAACTCCTGAAGCCTGCTGGCGGTGTTGATGCATTCACTTCAGAAAATGGTTTGGCGTTATCTAGGAAAGTCAAAGGTACACATAACCCATGACTGATATTCTACTGCCAAGTAGATGCCCTTGAATGCCCCTAGAATACATATATCAGAAGATTCAAAGCAGTTTTGTTTATTACAGCCCCACACTGAATACAACACAACATCTTATATATAGTGGAGTAAATAAATAAGCCATGAAATGTTACACTGGGTTACCTTACAGCCATGCTCTACTTGACAACTTCGATGAATCCCATAAACATAATATTGAGTGAAAGAAGTAAGGCACAAAGGAATGTATGTAGCCTGATTCATCTAAAGTTCAAAATCAGGCCAAATGAAACTACATTTTGGGGGTATATATACATAGGTAGGTGGGAAAACTATAAAGAAAAGCAAAGAAGGGATCACCACCAAAATCACAGTAATGGATTCTTCTGGATTAGAGCTGGCCACCT